AAGAATTTTTGTTTGCATTTATTTCAATCAATAGAGTTTCAGAAACTAGTACATTTAAAAATAATTCAAGTATTTGAACAACTTAAGAACTTTAGTTTTAAAATGTTTATTTAGGCTAAAAAGTAGAAATTACATATTTTTTATTGTCGGTCGAAAAAAATAACAATTGTTTTTTTTTAATAACTTTAAGAAGTTTTGAAATATGATGTTCATATTAAAAGGAAATGTACGTTGGCATCAAGTACAACATATCTGTGAAGGTTTAAGAGTGTGCCACAAAAAAAAAAAAAAAAAAAAAAAAAAAAAAATGATTTTTTTAATTTTAAGAGTTTAAGATCAGTTCTTTTGGCTGATGTTACCTTCTTCAAAATCAGATTCAAGTAATGGAAGATAGCCACCCTGCCTTAAACCTTGTTTGGTAATGAACGTCTCAAAGGGGTCCTTCACAATTATGATGCAGCTGGTAGTGTTGATCAACATCATTTTAATTTCCGTATGATCAATATCTGATCTTTAGTGGATAAACCAGGTCCAAAGTAGCACTACTAAGNCATAGTATACATTCATATGCACAAAACAGGCATACATACATACGTACATACTATGTATATATGTATGTTACTGAGTATATTTGTATACGCAAGGGTTTGAGTTTTTTCAATTGTTCGACATTTTTCCACATTTTGCTGGTTGCCTTTTTAGCCCACGGCACTCGAAAGCTAAATTGGCGTAGGTGTGTGGTACAAGCACTCATGTACGATATGATGTATTCATATACAATATGTACATATGTATGTATGTAACCCAAGTTAAGGTTAAGTGCTGAATGGTTACATGGTTTAACAAGGATTAAATTTTTGCGACTTATGTCTGTCAAAGTCTCTTTTCGGTTTTTAAATGATAAGCCATACGGGAAATATTGTGAACACATACTTGCATACATACTTATGCTGTAGTGTCCTTGTTGATTCAATTTTAAATGTTATATTTAGAAAAATTGACTAAAAAAAAAATTTTAAATAAAATTGAAATTAGTGTAAATATTTTTAACACAAAAACGATCATAGATGTATGCATATACATTTAAAGCAGAAGCCGCTTAAAGTTTCTAGTCGATAGTTTCTATGTTGAATATGATCGTGAAGGTTCATAGCTAAGTTAAAAGAGTTTAAAAAGTGAAGTTAAATTAACTTAATAGAACATTAAACAATTTTTGTCAGAGGGTTGCCAACTGTTTGAAAAATTAAATTCCATTAACTTGATTAGGTGGAAGAAATGTTAAAATATGGGTGTTGAAAGAGGTTTAAGAAAGCTCGTTTTCCAAGTAATTTCAAAGAAGGTTGCCACCTGTTTGGCTAAGTAAACTCGATTAAATCATATATGTATACTAGGGTGCTTTTTTTGCGAACATTGTTTTTTCACTCCAACCTCGAAATTTTGTGGAAAACACTTAAAAAACTCCCTGAAAATTTGAACCCTAATATTAACATTAAGTAGTCGCCCAAGGCGTGCAAAGATTTCCCATATAAAATACACGTAAGCTTTGATTTTTTTTTTTCAAACCTCTAAAGCTCAGAGGAATTTTATCGTACAAATATAGTCCATGACGGATTTTCTTCAGATTTGAATACTCTACAAAACTCCCACCAGCGAGTTAGTACGTGTCACCAAACTCAATATTTTGATTCAATTGCTGTTTTTTTGACCCTATCTCGTAAATTACAAGAGCTACAGGAAAAATGCGAATGACAAACTTGTAGGCCATTCAATTTTATAAAAAAAAGTTCTAGAACACCAAATCACTAACATCGAACACGCAGAAATTTCACACACTCCCGTTCACTTGGGAGTTGCCGAAAAAGATTCTTTTGCATCCGGTTTAAGCAGCTCATAACTTCCGGATCATGCATCTTCTAGGTAGCTGGTTGACGTCCTTGCTGCTCCCGTCACGATATTAAAAACATGCTTGGCGATTTCCCCGACAGGCTCGGCAAGGAAGAGATCTTTGGTAACACTGTCGGAAAACTCGGCATCCACGACTCAGTGAAATTTCGCGACTTGACTCAATGACTCATGCTCATTTTAATGTGTCAGTTTGGCACTAAGAGAGTGTTGAAGACTAATACGAAGTTATTTCAATTCGCGAATTCTGTGGTACGAAACGAAAGAGGGTCTGCAACTGGCTGAGATAACAGGTGGCGTTCTACAAGAACCCGTACTCGGTCCTTTGCTATGGGATATTATCTAAAATAGAGTTCTTAGCACCGAATTAGCCGAGGATTCATTTATAATAGGCTTTGCAGAAGATACTGCGGAAGTAGTGTTTGCGAAACAGCCTGATGCCATATGCGAAAAGTTGGCCTCGTAAGTCGGACTGAAGCTAGTCGAGCAAAAAACATAAACAATACTTATCTCGAGTCGCAAGAAATTAGAGGAGATAGCGCTGAAAATTGTCTACCACATCATCACGACGAAACCCACAATTAAATACCTCGGAGTGGTGCTAGACAATCGTCTTCTTTTCAGCGCCCACTTGAGCTATGGGAGAGAGGAAGCAACTTCAACGATCACGAGACTATCGCGAATAATGCTTAAAAGGAGTCTACTCTTATCAAGAGTGGTTAAAAGCCAAAGACTGTATGTGGCCCCAATGAGGTCAAATGCGGCACAGTGTCCAGCAAACTTCCGCGGAGTCAACTCAACATACTGTTTGTCGGACGAAGCAGCTTTCGTAATCGCCAGTATGATACCCGTCCATACTTATACTGGCGAGAAAATCGACGCACCTTGCATCCACGCCGCATGCTCTAAATCAAATAGGAAAAAAGAAAGGAAAAAGGAGTGGAAAATTAAGCGGAATAGTATGACTAAGCGTCGTTGGAGCTATCTCTGCTTACCAAATCTGGTATCCTAGCCTGGTAAGCCTACTAGTGGTAGCCTAGGACTGAGTACAACCAACTGGAACGATCCTGCGATCGTAGTGCTCAAACCGCCTCCCGACGAAGTACTCTTCACCGGTACCGGGGAGGTTGGTACTTGGGAGGACGGTACTTGGGTAACTTGCGTCGCTGTTTTCTCTTCTTAATTTTCATTATTTACAGTGTAGCGGATATTTATAGCGTTACTGAGCCATATTGTTTTTAAGAAGTCAGTCTGCTCAAATAAATATTTTCATGAGATTAGCAGCTGAAATACCTCACACAATCGACCAATAAAGGCATTCAAAAATTAATTAATTTCTGACAAAGAATTAGATCAGCAAAAATAGCAATATTTAAGTTCACAAAGCATAACTTATTAAAATCAGTACATTATGTATGTATTTAGGTACATAAGAAATGTTACTTACCCTACAGTGACGTCGAAAATATTGCTACCCACTGAACTGGAAACCGCCATATCACCAAATCCTTTGCGCGCCACAATCACCGATGTTATCAAATCGGGTATTGATGTGCCGGCAGCGAGGAAGGTCANTCAAAAATAGCAATATTTAAGTTCACAAAGCATAACTTATTAAAATCAGTACATTGTGTATGTATTTAGGTACATAAGAAATGTTACTTACCCTACAGTGACGTCGAAAATATTGCTACCCACTGAACTGGAAACCGCCATATCACCAAATCCTTTGCGCGCCACAATCACCGATGTTATCAAATCGGGTATTGATGTGCCGGCAGCGAGGAAGGTCAAACCCATTACCTAGAAAATGGAAGTGTAAGAGAAGGAGAAAAGAATTATATACATATACTACACATATGTATGTATACTTATTTATGTGCACACGAAAAAGAACAAAGTTAATAATGAGCTCAGGAAAGAGATGCCAGAAAGTACCATTATCAAAAGATAAAAAATGTTTATGTGCACACAAATAATAAGAATGTTGACCCACATTGCAAGTCACAGTGGTGATATGTAAAATATATGTATTTAAGTATAGGCCTGTGCAGCGGTAATTGCCGAGAAGGCGCAAATATGTATGTGCTTACGAACACACTTACAACATACATTTTGATTTTTTTTGGTACTCACCTCCGGTGGTATGCGTGCCGTATCGCCGGCAACATTCGCCCACCACACCATCAGATACGAGAAGGCAGCGATCCACAGTATTGAGCCGATGAACGTGACTGGGTAGAATTTTTTGCCACGCGGTGTTCGCGTATCGGGCAATGTCAGCCACATGGGTATAAGCAGTGGCGCCACCAATATATAGGTGAGCCGTTTGCGGGCAGTATCGGGCCAAGCCATGCTCAATGGTTCTGGTTCATCTTCAATTTCATTGGCCTAAATTTTCGCAGAAGTCCATTTTGTGTGTATGAGTGAGTGTGTGTTTTTTGTTGTTGTTGTTTTGGAAGTGGGTTTGTGTGTGTGTGTGGTAAGGAAGTTATTTGTGTTTTTGTTATTGAAATTTNTTTTTTTTTGTTGTTGTTATTTTGGAAGTGGGGGTGTGTGTGTGTGTGTGTGTGTGTGTGTGTGGTAAGGAAGTTATTTGTGTTTTTGGTATTGAAATTTTTGAAATCAGTAATATCATTGCATTGCAAAGGCAGTTTGGCGTGGGTGGGAGTGTTCATGGAAGTGGGTAAGTAGTTGGAAGTTAAGGGAGAAAGGCGTAAATATGAAAGAAAAAATAGATTAGTAAATTATATTTGTACATTTTTGCAGAGTTTGTCTTTAGATATTAATTTGTATTAGCATATAGTTATGTATGTAAATTAGTAAGTAGTTAATTTAAANGTTAATTTGTTGTATTAGCATATAGTTATGTATGTAAATTAGTAAGTAGTTAATTTAAATTTGGTTTTTAATAAATTTACAAAAGGGACTTAATTTGGATAATTTTGTTTAAAATTTGGTATAAATGTATTATGATAAATTTTTTTTCGGTTTTTGATATATGAAAATGAAATGAACTATACAAAATGCAGCTATGATTTATTGTGAATAATGAAATTTGAATACAACTTTTTTTTTGTAAAATGTTAAGAATATTTGATACATTTGATGTATTGAAAAAAATAAATATACTTAAAAAACGTTTGCTAAAAGTACGTTTCCACGAGCTTCAAATTGGGCAACAAATTCAATTTCACGACCAATTTCGATCAAATTATTTTACAAAATAAATNTGTAAAATGTTAAGAATATTTGATACATTTGATGTATTGAAAAAAATAAATATACTTAAAAAACTTTTGCTAAAAGTACGTTTCCACGAGCTTCAAATTGGGCAACAAATTCAATTTCACGACCAATTTCGATCAAATTATTTTACAAAATAAATAATTTTTTATAAATCATTCAAAGTTATATAACTTCCAAGTTGCTACGAAAAAATTTTACTTTGTTTTCAATCTCAGCCAAAATGAGACTCGAACACAATTTTAGCTGACATTTTTTTCTATGACAAAATTGAGAAACATATCACAATTTCAAGCTGAAATTGAGAATGGTGCCAAAATTAGGAAATTTTGGGCTCGCGGAGACGTACTTTAGGCAGGGGAGTGAATAAATTGAGTGAGATATTGAAATAAGTGAGCTCAGTGAAATATTTGCATACGAATTAAATTTACTTCGATAACATGAACCCATATTTTTCAGGCCCTGAGACCAGACTATACTATTCCAAAGGTTTTTGTTGGCTAGATACAATTTTCTCCATCACCCCTGTTAAGGAGATATTTAAATGGATTTTCATTATGTTCGTCGTAACATTTTTAATGTGTAATAAACATCTTAACTCTCAGTATGGGTAAAATTTGTGCTAATCCAGCAGAAAATTTGGAACTGCTTCATATGAAACCCAGCAGAAAATCAATGAATGCTTTTCTGTACTACATAGTTCAGGGCTACCTCACCAATGCGGGAATAATTCGGGATTATTTTGGGGTTATTTGGGATCGTTTTGGTCCAGTTCGTAACTAGTTAAGGATTATTTTAGGATTATTCCGTCACCAGTTCGGGTTCGTTTCGGGTCTAGTTTGCGAGTATTTAAGGACCCTTTCGGAACGAGTTCTAAACTAGTTCAGGACTATTTTAAGAAGATTTTGGGATAAGTTCATATCATTTTGGTACTATTTAAGGAGTATTTCAGGGCCGTTTGAGCCTAGTTTGGGATCATTTTGGGAGTAATAAGATACCATTTCGGGCCGTTTCAAGGCTCGTTTGAGATCATTTGGGGACAAGTTCACGACTATTTCAAGACAATTTCGGGACCGTTTGGGGACCTGTTCATTACCATTTCGGATCTATTTCAGACCCCTTTAGTTCTGTACCATTTTCGCACTAGTTCAGGACAATTTTGGAACTCGTTCAGGACTCTTTCGTGACCATTTAGGGATAGTTCACGGCTATTTCAGGACCATTTCGGGACTAGGTAGGGCCAGATTCAGGCCTATTCAGGGTGTAGTTCAGCAACGTTTCGGAATCCCTCCAAGACTTGTTCGACTTCACGCATTTTTTAAAACCAATTCAGGACTCTTTCAGAACAATTTTGGGACTACTTCCAGATAATTACAGGGAAGTTCGGAGTTATCGTCAATTTAAGTTAAGAGTTTGATGATGCATATCGCTACCTAAAAGTGAAAAGATCCCAAGTACATTTTTTTTAGAAATTATTCAGGAGATACGAAAAATCGATATAGATTCGCATTATCTGCCATTCTGCATCAAAATCTAAATTTTGAAAAACAAGCACCTTTTCCCCTTTAGATAGCGATATGTATTTCGCTACATAAGCTCTTAAATATTTGTTGTATAATTTTAGGCTCGCATCGGTGACTATAGAACAAAAATTGTGTAAATGAAAAGCTTGTTTCCAGTTTAAAATTCAGCGAATCAAACTCTTTCAGAAAAGTACAGGTTGGTCTCAGGCTCTTCCGTTTTTTAGGCACCGTATTCAAAAATAAAATGAGAGCCTCTGATTCAGGTCCCGAATAAAATGGATGATGACTCATCTGTTAGGGCGATAGTCGCATGGAACAGTCCACCTCCACCAGTAAATGAGGACGTTGATGGACTGCAAATATGGGATGAAAATCAAAAAAGGTAGAAGATCGTTGTCGAAATGACTTTCTCGCCATCTGTCTATAGAAGGCCAAGGGCGAGCCGAAGAACAACGCGAAAACTGAGGGGGTGTACGGGAAGGATGGTGAACAAAGCGATCTGCTCAGTTTTATCGAGACAACTTGGAGGGCATTCCTGGGATAAGGTTCTTTAATTTACAGGAACCGTAATCTGCTAAGTTCCCTAGAAGAATTTTGCTTTCAAAATGTCTTTGCGATAAAAATTGTGTACTATATTGGCTCATATGGGTACCGCAGCGCTGTGGTATCGAAGGCGACGAACTTGCTGATTGGTTGGGGAACTGCGGTTTTTCGGAGCGTCCAATTGGACCAGGCAAGTATAAGCCCAAACATAGCGAGAGCTGAAGATAGCCATTGGTGCAGTACTGGTACTTGTAAAACTACCAAACGTTGTGACGAAATTCATTTTCAGACAGAGTTTACACCGCTTTTTTTCACTGAACTCCTTTAAAATGCGATATGTAAAAAGGAAATCTTGATAATGAATTTTAAAAAGTGATTACAAAAAGACTAAATAATTGTTATTATAAAACAGAATGACGTAAATTTAGTTGAAATTTACAAATAAAAAATGTGCTTAGTCTGCATTTCTACATAAATAATTTGGAAATATATTGGATTTTGTGGCGGGGTTTGGCTATCAACTAGTTTTTCTATGCATTTTTCTACATAGAGTGCTACTCTAAGAGACTAGGTTTTTCATGTTGTAAATATCTTTAACAGATCTACGTAAAAGTTGCATAAGTTATTGTTTTCTTTTTTTGAATAAGCTTCGTTTTCAAAAACTAAGTTTCATAGAATCATTTGATTTCTTAACTTTCATAATTATTATTATTAGCAAGGCTACTTTCTGACGCAGTCAACATTTTACTGCACTAAATTTTATTTTGTTATTAAATTTTTGTTTAAAACATAAAAAGTATTTTAAATATAATTTCACTTAACAAAATGTTAAACCAAAGTTTTTCATTTAACTGTTTGAAAATTTAACACTTGCATAAATAACCTTCAAAACAATTAGTTTTAATAAATCAGAAAATAGAAATTTTTTTATAAATACGTGTTTAAATATCTGGTTCTTATATTATCTTAATTATTAATTTTTTTATACGGAAACTTCCAAAATTTTTTAATTATGTGTACCATTGCATAAAAAAATTGTGTCGTAATTTTTTTTTCTAAATTTTGCATACGAAAATATTAGTTTAAAGTTTTTAAATATTTTTTGTGCAAAATGTCAGTCAAAAGTTTATTTTAACTAATCCTTGGTAACTAAGTTAAGTATTTGTATATAAAAGTTTAAGTTCATTTAACTGTTTGAAAATTAAACATTTGCACAAATAACCTTGAATAAAAATTGTTTTCAAAAAAATAGGGGAATAGAAAAAAGATGGATTTAAATAATTTTCTTTTTATATTACTTTCTTTTAAAATTTTTTGTACGAAAAATTGGCTTTCGAATTTTTTTTATTATGCGTTTGCATACAAACATTTTTTTGATATTTTTTTAGACTTTTGCATACAAAAACATTTAAAAAAATTTGTTTTTAAGGTTTTACTTAAAACTATTAAAATATTTTTTACGCACAATTTCAGCCCATAATTTTTTTAAAACCAAAGTTTAATTTAATCAACCCTAATTTTAAAATATGAAGAAATAGAAAAATTGTATAAAGAAAGGTTTAACTAAATGTTTTTATATGTATTATGTTGTTTTTTTTTATGTGAGAAATTTGTTTTAATTTTTTTTTCAGTTTATTTTAAATAAACCTTAAATAGTTTAATATTTGTATAAGTTTAAAAAAACAAATTAATTTAAGGGTTAGAACGTGCACCAAAAATTTGAAATAAAAATATTACTTTTCAGATAAAAATTGTAATAAAAAATATAATTTTATATTTTATGTAAAATTTAATTTTTTTATTTATTACGCAAAATTTCAGTTCATTATTTTTATACTATGTATATTTTATTAAAATTTTTTGCAAACAAAAATTTATTTTTGAGTATCAAAATTAAAAAAAAGAATGTTTTTGTAATAAAAATTGTAAAAAATTTAACTATTGGTGTTTAAGTTTTTATTATATACAAAAATTTAACATTTTGATAATTTTGACATTGAAATTATTATATGCAAAACAAAATAACTCTGTTTTAAGTTAATTAAATTATTGCTAACGCAAAAACTATATTCAAAGCAT